GCTTAGATTATAATTATTTACTTTAATTATATCTTCGTTACTCTAGTACACTTAATTAGGACGTACCGCGACAAGAAGTCCAACCTCAACTGAAGCGAATAAAACACCAAAGAAAGCTCCAACGAGAGCAAGAAAGTCAAATTTATCAACTTTCCAAATGTGAATAGCCTCATTGATGTCGATTAATCCCGGCAGTGCTGAGAGAATTATGGAAGCGAGGATAGCAATCGGAGTATAGTAGAGAAGCCTCGTTAGGCACTCAAGTGCTACAAACACCGTAACCGCCATGACAATGTTCGACATTGCTGTCTCACATCCGGCAGCGAAGTTCACGGCTGTCCGAGAGAATGAACCTATATTGCAAAATTGTTTTATACTTTAGGCCATCACTTTCACAACATATAATTTACATAACTTAAAACTGTTAAACCAACATTGGTTAATCAGTCATAAATCATAATTAACCATTGATTAAAAGAATTTCTCAGCGTGATTTGAGTTTTCATAGAAATGTGCATGTATCTTTAATTAATACTAAATTTGAGGAGTTTCCAAAACCAGTAATCAACTTGAATTATTCATCTATACCAAAATGATCACTCTTTATTTTTTCTTTTGACATTCCACCAAAAATGATGACTTTTATAAATGTAGTACTTCACATTCCACCAAAAGAAGTGGTCCATATATATGTTAATATATAGTCGGATAGTGATAGGTCTGTGTTACATAATAATATAAGTTGAAGAAATTAATTACCAGTAGCAGCGTAACAAGATGTGAAGGAACCGATAACATTAGAAAATCCAATGGCCATCATTTCTTTGTTTCCATCGAGCCTGTACCCTTTGATTCCGGCGAACGACCTCCCTACCGCAATCGCCTCCTGAATTTATTTATATATATATATATATATAAAGAATTAAATAGACTATAAATTTTTTTGTTAAAAAAAAATTGGTTAATGAAACCTAATTACTTACGGTTAAAGCAATAATGGCAATGATTAAACCGATTTTAGCGATTTGTCCGAGATGAGGAGTATTAAAGTCGAGATCGTGAATGGAGATTGGATTAAGACCTCCTTTGATGTGCTTCACCGTCTTCACACCATGCTCGTCCGCTTTTGTCAGAAACACCATTAACGTTGACACTACCACGGCGATCAACGGAGCTGTTGCCGGTAGCCAAAACAACTTCTTGTTCTTCTTCCCCTAATATATGTTTCATTGCTCATTAATTTCTTGGTGCAGCTATTTATATAGTGTGGTAGATGAATGAACTAAGAGAATCACTTACGATGAAGCGAGTGATAAGGATAAAACTGAGGAAGGAACAACCGAGGATGAAAGTGTGAGGGCTCCATTGTTGTTGACAAGATCGCCAGACAGCTCGAAGAACAGAGACAATGTCAGTGTTGGTTGTGAAGTTACTGATACCAAGCAAACCTTTGAGCTGTTGGAGTCCTATTACAATGGCTGCACCTCCCATGAACCCTACTATGGCTGCGTGCGATAGAAAATCAACCAGAAACCCTAATCTGAATAGCCCAAAAGAAGCTTGGAAGATCCCGGCGAAGAATGTTGTGGTTAGGACCAGTTTCTTGTATCCCACGGGATCTATTTCTGGATCTATGAGTTTTTGCAACATTGAGGATATAAGAAGGGATACAACAGCCACTGGTCCGATAGCTATCTCCCTTGATGTCCCCATCAATGCATATATCAATGGTGGTACCACACTCGTATCTGTTAAAGGTGTAACGCTCAATTTGTAAGTATGATTCATGATATTAAAATCTACCATCTGTACCAAACACAGTTTTTACCTTCTTTTTTTCTTTTAAATTAAAAAATAATAGTCTGGCTTTGTTTTAAAGCAAAAAAGCTCATAATTTTAATATGTAGTATACAAACTTACATAGGCCAAATTGAGGATCAAGCTTTGCAAGAGTTGCATAACCAATGCTCTGCACACAAAATAATGAAGTTCAGAATTCTTGAAGCTAAGGAATCTAAATGGATTTTTTTTTTTAGTTTGTGTACGTACCTGAGGAATGCAGAGGCTAGCAAGGGTTAAACCAGCCATTAGATCGTTCTTGAACATGGTGAGTTTATAGTTTCTGCACCAACCGAAGATTGGGAAAACGGCTTGGAGGATAGACAGTATTCTTTTCGGGAAAGGCTGTTCTTGTAGTGACTTGAACTTTTTGGCTTTGGTTAGGATAGAGCCTTTGACATAGCTCTTGAGCTCATGCCACGGGCTGGGTGGTTCAGGACAGTCAAGCAGCCACTTTGACCGATCAGGTTGGTCTTGACCGGCTTGTGCGGCTGCAGATGAACCTGAGTTGGCCATAGCCATCTGGATCATTTGTGTCGAATTTGAAGTGTTTGGGAGAACTTGATGTGAGAGAGAGTCAAAACTCTCTAGATCTCTCTCTTTCATCTTCTTCTCGATTTTTGACGTTGTGGGGAAATTTTAACTATGAAGAAACTGTGATTGAGCATTCAAAGTGTGTGGATGCTGAAGTGAATTGACTGATTCTCTAATGTTTATATACACATGAGTAAGTGGGATCTCATGGTGTCCCTTTTTTTTTGTTAATTAAACCCCAAAAAGCACAAAAAGTGTTATCTGTCACAAAAAAAAATTACACACACACAAACTTTAACGTGATAAAAAAATGCTAGGGGGTGTGTACAAAATCTTGTGAGGTAACTGAAATATGCGTTCCAAGCGTTTTCAAATTCCAGTATATCCGACGAAATTTTAGTTACTAGATATAGCTAGTGGAGTAGATACCAATAATTATGGTATTGATACAGATATATAGCTAAACTCGAGTATCAATACATAATCCAAAATAGCTAGGTATTTATAATTCAACCATCTTTAACATAAAAATATTTTGAGTAAAATGAAATGGAGCCTCAAACACAGTTTCTCTGTTTATGTTGGGTCCAAAAACACAAAGTTTCTCTTATCTATACGCATTTTTTATGATGAAAAGCGGAAAAAAAAATTTGTGTTAACGTAAGTGAAAACATATATATTATGAGGCTTAACAAAATAAAGACAACTATAAAATGTTTTGATACTTAAAAAATTGTTAATAGAATGGCGCCATTATTGGTTAGACTATTTGGATCATAACCCATTGATGGAACATGTGATGGGTTGTTTGAAAGTAAAGTGGTTAGGCCACAGCCAATACATGAAATGTCTTTGTCTTGGTCGGACCAAAGTGGAGAGGACACTATATGCGTGCCTCGAACTTCATGGGTCCAAACAAAGTCAACGCCCTCGAGATTTTTTATTGCACACGTACGTATATATGTATATATAACTTTGTCCTGGCAATGGCATCGTGTGTAAAAATGTAATCAGATGATGGACATGACAACAACGTTAGTACAAACTAGTACGCTATATACATGTTCTTTCCCATTAGAATGTAAATTACAATGTACTCACAAGACCTTTTGTGGTTAGAATGTAAATTACAATGGACGAGTCAAAAGAACAATGCATGTTTTTGTGAAAAGGTTTGCAAGAAGAGAAACAGATCAGATGGAAGACAAGAGCATCATGTTGGTATATGGAGTAAGCATGGGCAATTGAATATCATAGGCTTCCCTACGAAATGATGATAATTATAACTTTTTTTTTTTTTTAATAGAAGATGAAATGAAACCTAAGAACGAAACGTGTTATTTCCCCTCATTTTGTAAAATACAAATTTGAAGATTTTAGTAGCCATCCAAAATTTCATCCCGAACTTTTTTGTTTTTCTACTTTCTAAATCTTAAAGGAAAATTAAAAGAAATAAATAAGCACTAAATTAGAAAGAAAAAGCGACTATAGAAGAGTTGACGAAATAGACGTCGATATCAGAAATTTTTGTGTGTGAGAGAATTGGGCCATGACCCACCGTATTACACTGTACTTCTTTATTTGGATAAGAGTGACTAAATAAGGTTTTATTCCTCACCAATTTGTTAGGTTTATCTTCTTCTTCTTTTTTTTCCAATTTATTAAGTTCTCTCTTTTGATTGAGAGTAGAGAGTAAACAATTAACCACACGTTGTAAAAAATGTGATATAGTATCGTATAGATTCAGAACAGCCAAAAAAGAAGAAGAGAAAAATGGTAAGAAGAAAATGTTCAAAGAAATACAATCAGGACGTAGACTTAAATACACCATTAATATATTTTGACGAATGGGGTAGATGTCACTTGTCAGCAACACTCACCTAACTGTCAAACGTATACAACAAATAACACGTTTCCATTATTAAAATACTCGTACGTGTGTGTGTGTGTGTTCACGTTCGTTAAGATCCCCCAAACGTTAGATGGGCTTCCAAGATTTACTTAGAAAGCCTTTTTATATGGGCCTTATGTATTTACCGAACCTTTGGATGTCATCAGCCCTTCTTAAGTTTTCAATTGCATAGGAAAAACAAAGAAAATGAATTTTAGATTCCACCACATTTGCTACAACAACAAAAGATATTCCAAAGTTTTTTTTTTTTTTTTTTTTGGGGGAGTGAGGGGATGTCAGACAAAAGTTGTAAAGGCGAAACATTTAATACAATCTTTATATATTTATAGTTTTTACAATCTGTTTTAATATTGACTAAAATGGCTTTAAATTTTGTTATATCATGATTTCCAAAGTTTATACAATCAAATAAGATAGATTTTTTTTTTAAAGTATCCGTTTAGAGTAAGAAAATAAAATATCTCCTTTGAATACATCTTATAGAAATTAATTTTTTCTTTTTACACTTGTCAATAATCCCATAATATTGTAATTACAACTATTGGCTTACAGAGATTTTATTACCTTGAATCAAAGTCTTCTAGTCAAATATAATCTTTCTTTCTTTCTTTTTAGACACTTGTCATAATCCGTAAACTGTAAAATAATCTTCAAGAAAAGACACTTTAAGTGTCTCCCCTCCCTAGCTCCCCCCGTCTATAAAAACAAGACCCTGGCCTCAATCCCCAATGCATTCACAGACAGAAGCACTCGACCTATTACAGATTCTCTCTCTCTCTCTTTCTTTAAAAAAATCAATCAGTTCTCCAAGTTTTTTGTTTTTTTTTTCTTTAGGCAAAAATGTTCATCGAAGGGTTCAAGGTTGAATCTCCGAACGTGAAGTACACAGAGGATGAGATCCATTCAGTGTACGACTACCAGACCACAGAGCTTGTCCATGAGAACAAGAACGGTGCGTTTCAATGGACCGTGAAGCCAAAGACCGTGAAATATGAGTTCAAGACCGACACTCATCTCCCAAAACTTGGGTTTGTGTCATCTTCTCTTATAATCTTTTTTTCACCATTAAATGATATGAATAATATCATATGATACTTTGAGTAACGATGTTTTGCTTCATTTACTTGGCAGAGTAATGCTCGTTGGATGGGGAGGCAACAATGGTTCAACTCTTACCGCTGGTGTTATCGCCAATCGTGAGTAAGTGATTACGGTTTCTTCTTGTTGATTGTTTTGTGTTATAAAATACTACTCGTATAAAAGAAGGGAATAAAGTTGAGTGTCCTAATATATTCATGATTCCCCCCGCAATTGGATAGTTGAATAATGATGATAACGAAATGAGCAAGTTGTGTAATCCTTATTTTTTTTAAATATAATGGTGGCAGGGGAATATCCTGGGCAACGAAGGAGAAAGTACAACAGGCTAATTATTTCGGGTCATTAACCCAAGCATCCTCTATTCGGGTCGGGTCTTTCAATGGCGAAGAAATCTATGCTCCCTTCAAAAGTCTTCTCCCCATGGTTGTTACTACTATTCCTTTTATTTACCCTCTCTTCTTTTCTTTTTTACTATTGAGTCTGCGTTTTATAAAAAAAAAATAGCATGCATTAGAAGATCAGCAGTAAATAGAGAAATATAATACTAGTACTAAAGTGAATGGGTTATGGTAAATGATGATGATAGGTGGATCCGGAAGAGATTGTGTTTGGAGGATGGGACATCAGCGACATGAACTTGGCAGACGCAATGGGACGTGCCAAGGTCCTTGACATCGACCTCCAGAAGCAGCTGCGTCCTTTCATGGAACACTTGGTTCCTCTCCCTGGTATCTTCGACCCTGATTTCATCGCTGCCAACCAGGGCTCACGTGCCAACCACGTGATCAAAGGCACCAAGAAACAACAACTCGACCAAGTCATCAAAGACATCAGGTTTACAAACCAGCTTTCTCTTTTTCTTTCTTTCTTTCTTTCTTTTAGTAAAAGAAAATTGAAAAAAAAAAAACATAATGATTTATTTATGTATCCAATTAGCCAATAGGATAAGTTAAATTTTATCTTTACTATAAAGTCCCGTGATCTATTATAGATGTAGAAAATCAAATTTTTATAATTGCTTTATTTGTAATATAATTAAGGGAGTTCAAAGAGAAAAACAAAGTTGATAAAGTGGTGGTACTGTGGACGGCGAACACAGAAAGATACAGCAATGTGGTGGTTGGTCTTAACGACACTACCGAGAATCTAATGTCATCTCTGGACAAGGATGAGGCTGAGATTTCTCCTTCTACACTCTACGCCATTGCTTGTGTCCTTGAGAACGTTCCTTTCATCAATGGAAGTCCACAAAACACTTTTGTCCCTGGTAATTAAATCAAAGTATACTGTAGATTTTATATCACACCTTCACTTTTCTTTAGTCAATCACATTTTGCATACATGTATCAGGGCTTATTGAATTGGCCATCAAGAGAAACTGCTTAATCGGTGGTGATGACTTCAAGAGTGGTCAAACGAAGATGAAGTCTGTCCTCGTTGATTTCCTTGTCGGCGCTGGAATCAAAGTACGTAATCATAAAAAAGTAGTAGCTTCTCAATTACATATATGTTATACCGTATCGTTACAAAACTGAAATTAATCTAATTGTACGAATGCATAGCCGACGTCGATAGTGAGCTACAACCACCTTGGGAACAACGACGGCATGAACTTGTCTGCGCCGCAAACATTCCGTTCAAAGGAGATATCTAAGAGCAATGTCGTGGACGATATGGTTGCTAGCAACGGGATTTTGTACGAGCCTGGTGAACACCCTGACCACGTTGTGGTCATCAAGGTGATTAATTATTCATAATATTCAATCTTTTAATTAGGCCACCTAACATAAAAACACATTAACCTTAACTATATACTATTGGATGGAATTGTAGTATGTGCCGTATGTAGGGGACAGTAAGAGAGCAATAGATGAGTACACATCAGAGATATTCATGGGAGGGAAGAACACAATTGTGATGCACAACACTTGTGAAGACTCTCTCTTAGCTGCTCCTATCATTTTGGACCTTGTTCTTCTTGCCGAGCTCACTACTAGAATCCAGTTCAAGTCCGAAAATGAGGTTGCTTATCGGTTGCAAAATCTTCAATATATATAGTTCAATATTTATGTGTTAGATTGTAAATTTGAATTGTTTGGTTTCGTGCAGGGAAAGTTCCATTCTTTCCATCCGGTGGCGACTCTCCTAAGTTACCTCTCAAAGGCACCATTGGTAAGCAAAACAATAGCAAACATCGTGCCGTTTCTAAACTCTAACGACGTTTTTAACACATATTTCATTCAAATGAATGTAGGTACCTCCGGGCACGCCAGTTGTGAACGCTTTGTCGAAACAGCGTGCAATGCTTGAGAACATACTCAGAGCTTGTGTTGGACTTGCTCCTGAGAACAACATGATTCTCGAGTACAAGTGATCAATCAAGAGATCAGTCATTATCACTAGTTCAAGAGATCAAGACCCGCCTCTTATTAGCTTCTTTGCTTTCTATGTTTTAATTAACAATAATTACATCTTTAAAATGTAAAAGTTTTATGTTTACTTATTTTAAAAATTTCGTTATCTTGCCGAGCCATCACTATATGCATTGATATATAGCGCTGAATCGGAATCGGAATATCCTTCCATCTTATTTCATATTTATAAATGAAAGTGAAGCTTTATAAAACGGTTATTATGTTTTCATTTGAGAACATATTTTACATGTTTTCATCAAAACTTAATCCTTTTGATCATATATATTAGTTGCTCTTACTGTAAATAGTTCAGCATTTTATTAGGTTAATTTTAAGTTCTCTTCACCATTGAAACCGAAAAAAAAAACTCTTTTGGGCATCTACTCAATAAACTGAAGTTCCTTTTTAATATGATCACAATATGCAAACAAACATCGTAAATTGAAGATAGAAATGTGACTCAACTTTTAGGTGCGACTACCAATTAGCAGCAGACACGAGGGCCGTATGAAGAAGAAAGAAGCAAAGGCCTGATCACTCTTCTTTACCCATAGCCATCAAGAACTCTCCTTCACATACCACAGAGTTACCTACATATGCTTTCCCTTCCATTTTCGCTATCCCAAACCGCTTCTGCAACTTCACAAGCGTCATCCTCATCACCAGAGTATCACCAGCAATCACAGGCTTTCTGAATCTAACTTTGTCAATCCCAGCAAAGAAGAAGTTGCTTTTCGATCCACCCACTTCTGGTTGTAGCATCACTATACCTCCCACCTGAGCCATGGCCTGTCGAAACAAAACATCTACTTTACCCCTTTGAAGTGTTATTGTGTACACGATCTGTAAAACTCAGAAACTAATGAATGAAACTTAATAGACAAACTACATGTAGCTCTTATTAACTGCAACAATACATAAAACGCCTCTTAATCATTCATTCCATATATACATTAGGGATAGAAACAACTGATTTTATCACAGTACATAAAGCTGTGATCCAAGATATCAGCTTATCTTATTCTCAAATCTAGTCACTTTCTTAAATTTCAAGCTAGAGAGATCTATTAATCCACTCTAAAACTGAAACTTAAACAAAAGCCTTCATCTTGAGCTCCCTCGTAAGTTCAGAACTTCAACCAGAACACAAATTTCATCCTCATTCTATTTCCCCAGAGTCACCATTCAAAATCAACTAAATCATTCTTCTCTAACAAGCAAGAATCAGAGCAACCCTGTATTTCTAAGCTCAAACAGCTTCTCTCGAACTGTGAATGTATGCAAAAAGACTGAAACTTTTGGATTAAGAAAAGAGAGAGAGAAGAGGGCAATGCAATTACCTCAACCATGAGGACTCCAGGCATAATAGGCCTCTCAGGGAAATGACCAGGAAAGAAATTATCATTAATGGTAACGTTTTTAATAGCTACCGCAGATACACCAGCCGTGTACTCTATCACTCTATCCACTAACAGAAATGGGAATCTACACAGCAAAATCCAATAACCCAATGATTCACATTTGAGAAATCGAATCAGAAAATTACAGACTTAAAGAACATATTTTTTTCCAGTAACCTGTGAGGCAAAATCTCTCGTATCTTATTGATGTCCATCACCGTAGGAAATGCCTCATACCCTGAAATAATAAACATTGACAATTTTATTTTATTTTTTAAAATCTAAACTTGATTTGTAAATGAGAATGCAGTGGAGAGGCAAATTACTGAGTTCAATTGGGATCTCTTTCTCTGCGGTGCTCTTTGTTTCATCAGTGGAACACAAGAGGAGCGAGCTGGATCGGCGTTTGGGACGAAACGCGACTGAGCTCGATCTGAGCAACGGTGGAGATAGCGACTGATGAAGAGGGACAGACGCGAAATTACGCGACGGGGAGGCTGTGAAAACGGAGCTAGAAGCAGCCATTGCCGATTCGATCTAGAGAGAAACGGACGGAGTCTTCGAAGGGAGTTTTCAAAGAGCTTCCAACGGAAACAATGGTGGGTGGAAATGATATGAGACTACTATATGAACTATTTGGGCCTAATATGGGCTTTTCATATCAATTAGTAAGCCCATTTAACTTTTTCTTTTTCTTTTACCTAGTCTTCTTCTATACTGTATAAGATTCGTATTGTTCAGCTACAGCTATTTCCAATAGGCAATAGTGGAAGGTTAAAAATGCAGAAAATGTATTTGGTAAAACCGTTTTGGTGTTGATGATTGAAACAAAATCATACCAACCAAACCAACCACCCTCGCGCCTACAAGATATAGCTGCAACTACGAATACAAACGTATAAATTTTACTGTTCAACTAAAATACAAGGCACTTTATTATTTATTCATAGACTCATAATATAAGATCAATAATACAACAACTACTTCAATCTAATAAACTCTCATGTATCCAAACCATTGCGTTAGACATTTGGAGGAAGTAGTGGTACATAACAGAGTATCTACGTTTTTGTGTGTTTCTAGAGAACCGATGCTTTTCATGCATTATTCGTAGAGTATTTATTGTTGTGTTTTCTATAGATCAATGTTGATCATACAAATATTTTCAGAAATTAAGAAGAATTAATTCAATCATTTTCAAAAATTTAATGTGTATTTGTAGGTTTCCTCCTTTTTTTATTATATAGTATTTTATTCTTCTATGAATTCACAATTTATAATAGGACTTTTATTCAGAGGTCATGAAAAAAAGCTGACACAACTATTTAGAAGATGGCATTGTTATGTTTGGTGGCTGGTGAGAGGAAGTTAAGTAGATGGGCCACTCCACCTTCAGAGAACTCTGTAATTTTTGTCCCATGCAAATGTGTTGAAGAAGAACACATCCACATTCTATGTTTCTACTCTTACACCTCCCAAAGTTACCCCTTTTCCACAAGTTTTATTAAGGAACGGTTAATCATGGTTTAAGTGTGAATATAAATGTGATTTTAACCTGAATGATAGTTTGTAAAGATTGTTAAAAATGTTGAAATGAAAAGAATACAATAAAAAAAACAGTTGGAATAATTCGAAAGAGATATTTCAAAACCGTCCAATAAAGTTTTTACTCTTTGTATTGATATGTCATACTACACTGGTCTGTTTTTAACGGATGTATTGAGAAGTACATCACACAGAAGCAGTAAACAACCCTCACGTGTTCTCTTTAGTGTTCTTTTACCTAGGTTCTGGAGCTCTCTCTTCTTCTTCTTCTTTTTTAATCTTTCAAAGACTGACTTGAGCTGTGTGGTTAGATAAAAAGAAGTCATTAAAAGTCAAACTTCCCATTTTGAAGCACAATGATCTTGACTCATCTTCGTCTCTGAAACATCTTTAGCTTTCTATCTTTTTATCCAAATTTAGGTAAACGGTATACAAATTAAATGTGGTTAAATTTATATTCGACAATCGAAAAATATCATTAATGAATGCCACATCAATTGCTGCTCTACTAGATCTTTGTGTATTGTATATTTCGGTTTGGCGTGGTGCGTAAAAAGCACATGGGGACCAATCTGGTCTATATCTATCAAGACCGAACCGGGAGGCTAGGAACGGTTTTAGCACCGTATAAAGACAAAAATATACTGTACGTTGTCTTACGCCCAGCGGTTACTTGCGTATTCAATTTTTTCGGTTTGGGTTTCTGATTTTGGTTGGATTTAAAATAAATAAGACTGAAGCCGATTTGAAAATCCAAAAAATCAGAGCTGGATAGATTAAGACTGGACCGGGTTTATCCCATTGTACCATCAGGTAGAAGAAACTAAAGCCAAGTCGTTGTCAGTTCTGGTTTGGCTCATCTCTAATGCCAATTTCTGCTCTTCTCAGAAAGAGGCCAATTCACACACACAAAGAGAGATAAATACATTCCCTTATCTTTTTTATATATAAAGAACAGTCTGTGGGTTTAATAATTCGCATCGCTTGTCCGGACATAGACACAGAAGATGGAAGCTGTAAGATGCAGAAGAGGCAGAGAGAACAACAAAAGTCCAGAGAGGATTATCAGGTCTTTGAATCTTCAGCGGCTAGATGAAGAGGAACTAGAAGAAGAGGTCAAGACAAAGAAACCCATTTTCAGAAGAGTCCAAGTTGTCTATTACCTCACTAGAAATGGCCATCTCGAACACCCTCACTTCATTGAAGTCATTTCTCCGGTTAACCAGCCTCTCCGGTTAAGAGGTAAAAATACCCAAAAACAACAACTTAAAGAAAGAGATCACTGTACTCTGTTTTATATAGTCCATGGGTCTTGCTCTGATTAGTGTTTTGATCTCAATTAATGAAAGTTTTCGATTTTAGTTTTGTATACATCAGTGGATATGTGATTAACCGGTTTTTAGATCATAGGTAAGTGTTTTCATATCATTTTCTATGTTAAAAGGCTCGATTTAAGAGTGTATTTTTCTCAATGAAGATGTGATGAACCGGCTTACGGTTCTGAGGGGGAAGTGCATGACATCACAATATGCTTGGTCATGTAAAAGGTAACCTTTTAAACTAAAGCAGCAATCATCTGTAACCAAAACGCGCAAAGTTGATGCAAATTATTTCGATATTTTCCATCAGGAGCTACAAAAATGGGTTCGTGTGGAACGACTTAGCTGCAAACGATGTGATTTACCCATCGGACTGTGCTGAGTATGTGTTGAAAGGATCTGAAATCTCCGGTAAGTTTTTTTTTTAATAAAATGTGAAAACCATACTCATTTTTAAAAAAAATTGTGGTTATGAAAAATTGAGTCTTTTCTTGTTGTTTCCTAAACTTGGTAGACAAATTTCAAGAAGTACATTCATTGTCTGGTCCAATTCAAGAAGCTCCAAAAAGTCGACTTCTCAGGTCAAAACCCAAACCTCAAAACAGAAGAACGTCGTATGATGAGTCAGAGCTTTACGCCGGAGCAGAGGAAGAAGAAGAAGAAGAAGACGGAGAGTACGAGCTTTACGAAGAGAAAACGAGTTATACATCATCCACGACGCCTCAATCTCGCTGTTCTCGAGGCGTTTCGACGGAGACAATCGAATCCACCGAACAAAAACCGAACTTGAGCAAGCTGACAGAACAAGATTCGCAAGTACGGTCTGCCTCGTCCGAGTTAACTCGCTCTAACCCGGTGGTGGAGCCACGTCGTCGAGTCGATGTTTCGACGCGGGTCGAGGACGGAGATCCGGTGGAACCCGGGTCGGGTCGTGGGTCAATATGGCTGCAGATGATCTCGTGCGGGCACATTGCCACCAAGTACTACGCACCGAGTGTGACGAATCCGAGACAAAAGGAAGAGAGTCTTCGAAAAGGTGTCTTGTGCAAGAACATAGTGAAGAAGACTGTCGTCGACGACGAACGTGAGATGATAAGGTTCATGTCGGAGAATCCAAGGTTCGGGAATCCTCAGGCAGAGGAGAAAGAGTATTTTAGCGGGAGCATCGTCGAATCGGCGAGCCAGGAACGAGTCACGGTTGAACCATCGCTAAGACGGTCCAATTCTTTCAAAGAGGAAAGGTCAGTAACAATAAGTCAACTCTAGTCGATACGTATGGTTACAAAAACTTGTGAACTAAACTGACTAAATCTTTAAATATTTGTATGTAATACAGATCAAAGATCGTGGAGATGGCTGATGAAACGAAGAAGAAAGAAGAAAGATCGATGGTGAAGGTGAAATGTATACCGAGAACGTGTTTGATGTCATCATCGAAGCAAATCAAGAAATAAAAACAAAAAAAAAAAGGAAAAATTTGATATGATTATGGAGTAGTACTTTTTTTATATTACTGTTACAGATAGATATTAGATGGTAGTAAAATGAATTTTAACGACTAGAGGTTTATGTCTTTTAATTTTATTTTCGGGAATATATTTTATTTTCGGGAATATATTTTCTCCCCTTTATCTGACGAGTTGTTTAAAGACAAGTGCAAAATGGCAAAAACAAAAACGTATAAGTTCAGTTTAATCTTTTGGGAATCTATTTAGAGTGATATTATCTTTGTCGTTTTATAAGGTATGAAATAATAAAATCAAACTTTTTCAAAAACATAGAGATGCTTTGAATTATTTTTTTTTTTAAAGATAAATGACATATCCAGAATAGGAAAAAGGAGATGAGATGATTGGATATAAACCATGCCGTACATTCACCCATCGATTCGTAGAAGTACTTTTCGCATTTAAGTTTTTTTTTTTTGTTTTTTGGTTTTTGGTTATAGAAATATATTGTCTCTGCCACAATTTTAATAGCAAGGTTTTATATTTGACAAACATAGGCTAAGGAACGTTCTATAGGGATAGGGTTTACCAAACCTTTCACTTATTAATTTTTCTACCGACATTTTTCCATGGTTATGGATGAAAATTTCATCCAACAATTTTTTCTAATTATAATAGAAAAGATTAACATGGGCTATACGCATATAATTTATTCAGAAAACATCTCAACAAGTCAAACTACAATATCTTTTCCACTACAAACATGAAACATACCTTGTTTGGTGCTTAATTTCTAGGATTCGGCTTATTAAGTCCATGAAAATCATTTGGTGAGTACTCAGTTCATGTGGTGATATCCAATGTTTTTCTTTTACCTTTGTTTCATGAATCCTAATTAGTGGTCTGATCTGCAGGAACTAAAATCTGCAAATGCAACAATGAGTAATTAAGAAATGACCGCATCAATATGTAAATTATGTGACTATTAAATACCAACAATACAGACATTTAGCTATAATTTGCTAATAAAAAAATAGACTCTTTTTTATATATAGCTAAATTGTAAATATCATTAAAGAAAAGGTTAAGGTATTATATAGAGCATTACCTAAAACTAGAGTAACCTTGGCAAAAAGAAAGTTACAATACTAAGATCAGTGGAAAATTTAGTGTTATCTAATCTAAACGAGCATTACACTCAAATTGGTTAGGAGGGGAACAACTTATGTTTTTAGGTTCTATAGACACTTAGATTCTTAGTAAGCTTTTTGTGGTGAATAGTATACTAGCCAAAAAAAAAAAATTAAAAACAAAAAAAATATATACTAGCCAATTAAAAGTATTTATGTGTAATTTCCTTTCAGTCTAATGATATTGTTTGTGAGGTGAGTTTGGGTTCAAAATATCAAAGTTCTATGTAATTTCCTTTCTGTCTAATGTATTTATATATCCGATATTAGCAAAAATTTTAGGTTTACACAAAAGATCAAAGAACAAATTACTGAATTCATTATGTGTGTCTGGGTTGTAATGTAGTCAATGTGTATTTCTTTATGTAAAAGTCTTCTAGTCTCTTAGCAAAAAGTGTACTATATATTGAACTAGAGCTCTTAGCATTGTTCTCATCATGAAAAAATGTTATACAGGACAGTAGCTAAAGCAAGTGAAGCTAAACAAGGAAAAAATGGCTTACAACATGTATCAACCATGAAACTGATAAAAATATTGGTGGTAGTAAAAAATTAAGCATTTTTTTCTTTTTAATGATACCTATAGGTTTATATGGTGGTAATGCATTTTGAGTAAGTATGCTAATAGTTGGATGAGATCAAGATAAAATGGACCAAAACTCCGTAGGTACTAGCTAATACCGTAAATACTAATACCGTAGGTACTAATGAAGTAGTAACTAATGATAAGTACTAACTGCTAAATTATAGAATTGGAGAAGCCGAAGAGTTCAATAGCGATTAAAAAGACCAATTTAAAGTTTCGATTGGAAGAGATCAAAGATGATGGAGAGAAGGATCTCTCCAAAAGTGAAAAGAGGTTTTAGAGCTCTTTCTACAATGAGGGGAGATAATATTTGTCATTAGAGGTTGTTCTCGGACTTGAAGAGGCTACAGATCAAAACATAGAATTCTTGGTTACAAACATTTTCTGGAGAGAATAAAAACCATTACTACTCTTGATCCAGAAAACTCCAGAAGTGCGAAAACCACAATTATACATACATTTATAATGCATATTAATGCCAAATTTATATAAATTACTTATATGAAGAAAACTAGAATACATAAATCCTTTTTTTTTTTTTGAGGAATGCAAATTTAAAACATATATACAGTATCTAATTTCTATAAAGATAATTAGGATTCGAGTAGCAAAATTTTGGATAGCTTTTTTTTGTTTGAATCATAAACTATCGAATAGCTATCCTACCTATTGCTTCGTGTATCACTCTGATCTTAATTTAGAGAAAATCTAAACTAATTTCATCGGATGTTTATAAAATTGTAAAAAAATAAAAATAAAGAGGTAATTAGAAAGGTAATGCAAACGCGGAAACACCACATTGGTCATGCGGTACACGTGGCTATCTTGTATTCAAAACGCAACGTTTTCTATTCATATATTTTATTTTCATCACTCTCGTTTACCCCAAAAAAAAAAAAAATCTTGCTCGAGGAAGAAAAGAAACAAAGTAGATTAGACACAAAAAATAGAAAGAAATAAATGGAAAAAAGGAAATAAAAAAAAGTAAAGGCAGAAAAAAAAACAAAAAAACGCTTAGTATCTCTCCGGCGACTTGAACCCAAAGCCGAGGATCAAATTAGGGCACAAGGGGCTCTCGGAGACTGAAGCCATGGGGAGAAAAAAACTAGAAATCAAGCGAATTGAGAACAAAAGTAGCCGACAAGTCACCTTCTCCAAACGTCGCAACGGTCTCATCGAGAAAGCTCGTCAGCTTTCTGTTCTCTGTGACGCATCCGTCGCTCTTCTCGTCGTCTCCGCCTCCGGCAAGCTCTACAGCTTCTCCTCCGGTGATAAGTACGTCTTTTCCTTATCTGGGTCTTCCTTTATTCCCCCTTTAAGCTTCCGTTTTGTGCTCTCTCTCTTTTACTTTTCTCAGATAAAAATAAAAAATAAATAGAAAATAAAAATAAAAGAAAAACAATTAATGTACAGTTTGGTTTTTCCGGCGAATCTCTTGTTGTTTACTCGGTTCGGTCTTTGTTAGTGTTTTTTCTATGACCATCTCAGATACATGAGATAACCAAATCTATTGAAGAACAATGTCGTGATGAGCTAAAGCTTCTTACTTTTTCTTCTTTTCTCTCTCTTTCTCTCTCTCTCTCTATTCCTAAAAAAAAATTTCTGCATGGATTTTATTTTATTTGGAAAAAATTTGCATGTCCGTCGAGATTTGTTCGACACGTTCTGATGCGTGCTCGATGTTGTTTAGTGAAGTTTCAAGCCGTCGTTGATTGCTACTTAGCTTTAGGGATTAGCTCTCTATGTTTCTGATTAGTTTATATATATCAGAAGGACTTCATGATTAATTTCTCTAGTTTTGAAGTGATTAAAATTCATTGGATCTCTCGGATTTGTATGCAATGCAATGTACTTACCGGAGATCTACGCAAAATCCAAGAGATCCATAGAATTGCAATGGGGTTAATGCTGAAGAATGTATACTACATTGTGCAGCTAATTGATTGCTAATCTTCTATGAAATTATCTTTTTGCGATGAACTTATTACTTGATGATTATTCAAATTAGTGTTTCTAATTGATTCTTATAAGATTTATGTATACTACTTCTGAATATTTGATAGATTTAAAAAAACTCAGCCTCACAACTAGTCCTTACTGCACATCTATTTGCTACTTTATTTATGTGATTTGGTATCGATTGCGAGTCTTTTAATCGCAATCGTCTTCTGCATATATATATAACACTTTGTTTGTCAACATAATGTACATCGAGTGGTCTATTTTTAGACTAATTAAAACTCATTGCTCTCTTGGATTTGTATACAAAATACTTCCGCGAGATTTGCAAATAAAATTAGTATGATGTTAATGGTACTATAGATCAATAAGAGTGTTCAAATGCAACATTACTTGTGAAACTATTGACTAAAAAGTTATCTGGGATATATATGTTTGTGTATGAATTCCACTCCTTTTTATGGATTTGCTTACTTGAAGATTAATTATCCAAAGGCTTTTATAGTTTCCCACTCTCAGTGTTACCTCACATAGATATGCTACATATCTATGTGTTTGTTTATCAATTATCACTCTTCGTCTTATAAGGCATATGTGCATTATAAGACTTTGTCCCTATTATTTTACTATGTATTAATTTGACATTGTAGTGTTGATCATTGGAATCAACATGAATCCACAACCTTGTAACTTTTGTTGTGTAAATCAACAATCATACAAGCTTTGTATCTTGGGGTCTTTTGTCATGATTATTGTCAATAACTCAACCTTGTTTCTCTGTTGCCTCTAATGAAATTGAAAACTTCACAAAACTTGTCTTCATGTAAGAAATACCAACCTCTTGGGTACGGGTCTATAATGAATCAATATGGTTTCTACATTGTCAAAGTTAAATCGGATGTAGTGATTAATTATGACAATTGACAACCCTCCAATATGTTAACCAAGTGGTTGTAGTGGTTTGGCCATGTTGGTCAAGATCGCAGGCCGATTCTCACTTGATGTATACTTTGTTAGGATTTGTTCACGCCTTATACTGAATGTTAGGTCCAGCCTTGGAATAGTAGAGACATCTGACCAACTCCTAGTATATATTATACAGGAAAATCTTACTAATTATGAGTTTAAAAGAGCCTTCTAGAACATGGAAATATTAGTTACTCAATGACTCATATTTGCATCGTTAATTTCGGTGCAAAGAGCTTAACTTCACAATGGAACTGAAACCCATTCACACAAAAATTAAGTATATTAGTGTAAGTGTTGGCAAATTTGCTTCGACTTGTATTAGCTAATTATGTAGTTTTAGTTATCTATTTCTTAGTCGTTTCCTTCTTTGGAACAATTTTATCTTATATAGCTGATAGAGGCCCCAGTAATATAAGTTAATACAATTTCAATGGCAGAAAACTCTTGACCTTTATTGTTTAATTTTTGGCTTTCAATATACTGTAGTTAATCGGAACCTCAGAGTTTTTATGCAAACGAGGAAGAAAATTGAAAATGGAAATACAAAATGGAAGACCGGCTTCCTATTCTTAGGAAAGTTTTTAGACTTTTACAAAGAAACATAAAATAAAAGTATAAGCTTGTTGTCTAAAGTCTCGGTCAATGTATTTGGAGTTTGGATTTAGATATTGTTCGTCTGCTTAGTCTCCTTACCGGCCACATCATCATCTATATTGCTCATCAGTACTCTATCTCTGGAAAGAACCTTGTCCTTAAGGTTCAAATGAAAACTCATGAAGAGTTTTCTTGTATATTTTCATGTTAGAAAACCAAGAGTTGATATCACCGTTTTGGCACAGGATAGTTTTAATTTTATTTTTAAACAAGGGATACATAAGAACATGAGAAAACTAAGAATTTTGATCAAGAGGTAACTAGGGTTTGTTTTTATAATGGTATTGATGCCACGGTTTGTGGCTCAGATCACAGCCAATACAAAAGAAAGAAGATATATAGGTGTTTTTTTATGCTAAAAATTGTGGTATGGATCAAAACCAAAATGGAAGATTTGATAGAGGTTTTACATACAATGAGAACAATATATGTCAATGAATTGGATTCAGTCTTCCACTGTCTCTTATACTTAGGGTAGTCAGTTGCTGAAAATTATAAATATATGACTCTGTGTCCTTATAATTATTGGACGTCTGCTTACTGCCATGTCATTAGGTTGGGGTTAATCAATATCTGTGAGTATAATATCATGAGTATATACTTTCTTTAACAATAAAAAGTATGCATATTTATGTACAGACACTCTTAAGCCTCAATTGCTTGCTTGCTTGCATTTTTAAGTTTACGGCTGTGTTTCCATGTTATGATATATCAACAATTATAACATAGAATCACAAACAAATGCATGGAAACAATCTGGATAGTGGAGGCTTAAGATTAGGGTTAACTAGTTTGATTGTCAAAGCTATAAATGAATTAATAGACCACAGGATGACTTTTCTTTGTGGGAAAATGTCATTTTCAACCTGCTGAAAGATATAATAAATACATGTAAATCCACATATTTCATTGGATAATCAAACTTTGAATATTTCTGATTTCTTGGTTAACTTTAGAGTTCTTTTCTTTTCTTGAAAGATAAAAAGATCATATATCAGTAAATATTGTTTAAGAGCTCATAGTAAGTTAAACGAATAAGAAGAAATGGAAATCCAAATCTGCTATTACTTAATAAACATGAATACTTATGCTATGTGCTTTCTGAAATGTTTTGAATACTAGTTGTGTTATATATGAGTAAAAAATAATTTAAGATTTTGTTTCTAAATGTTTCTTCTGCCATGCATATACATGTTTCCATAGTTTCCAGTGGTGTTTTTTTAATCCTAACATGTTTTTAACTTTTTGTCATCTCTCCAGCTTGGTGAAGATCCTTGATCGATATGGCAAACAACATGCTGATGGTCTTAAAGCCTTGGTAATACAAACATTTTGAATCTTTTTCCTGAAGGAGTTTTATGTAAGGCGTAATTTTACTAAAGACGTAGAGAGTTCAATACTGTCAGAGCCTATTCATCGCCTCCTATTCCAGCTTACATTTTCTGGGCATTGGCTCACACGCATATTATGTTTCACATATAGTCACTATTTTGGAGTCGTCTAGTTGTAGATGTTTGATAGACATGAGTAAACGCATGTTTAGCATAAAGGCATCGTGGAGATATATCTAGATAAAGGTATTGCATCATTGATCCACCATGAGCTATTAGTTTCCCAAGTGATCCTAAATGTATAATGAGGTGGTGGATCCACATGCATACAGAAATCCTTGTAGCCCTTGTCTTTTACCGCCTCTTCTGTCCCTTTCCATGGCCAGGATCTTCAGTCAAAATCTCTGAACTATGGTTCACACCATGAGCTACTAGATCTTGTGGAAAGGTTAGTACTAACTAAGACTATATTTGCTATACTCCTTTGATTACAAAGGAATTAGGGTTTCTTGTCAAACTATGATTATATGCAGCAAGCTTGTGGAATCAAATGTCAGTAATGTGAGTGTTGATTCTCTCGTTCAACTGGAGGAACACCTTGAGACCGCCCTTTCTGTAACTAGAGCCAAGAAGGTAAGTTGATTCTATAACGTTTACTGTTTTCTGAATTTGGTTTGCTGAGAACAACTTTGCTGCATTTTTTTGTTACAGACGGAACTAATGTTGAAGCTTGTTGAGAACCTTAAAGAAAAGGTTAGATATTTGATTCCAAATTTAGAGCATCAGATATTTTCTCTTATGTTGTGTCGTTGTTCCTCTAAGTCTGTTTAATGAGCTTGCACAAGTCTTTGCAACTTCTTCCCAATGCATATATGTTTTAGATTTCAAAATCTGAAGTTGTTGGGCTGTTATTTATGATTGCTGAACATGGTGATCTTTAAAACAGGAGAAATTGCTGAAAGAAGAGAACCAGGTTTTGGCCAGCCAGGTAACGAAAGCTACATTTTCTATAAATATGCATAACCTAATAAGCCATTATTTCCCATATACATGGGCATAGATACACACTCCTATGCTTGCAGGTATACATATATAGACATTCGCATTTTAGCATCTATTAGTTAACACTTCCCTGTCTTAGGGTTTGTGATTTGGCTGTTGGTAGAATTAGTTCATTAGGGTTTATGAGATTGTTAATTACCACTGAATATGGACAGAAATTTGATTCGGTCTGGTTTGAGTTGAGTTGGAGTAAATCTTGATCATGATTTTTGAAAGAAAGATGAATAGTTTATAGTAATTTTTTTTTAACTGTATACAGTAAGGATTATATATAGCCACACAAGTTTTTCTAATGAACTCTATAAATTCATGATTACATTATAATATTGTCAAGTAAATTATATGATTTATATCTTTTAATAAAGAGTTATTATTGCTATATTCTTTACTAGATTAAAAAAAATTGTATATATATATATTTGGCTGGTGGACATACTTTAGGTTTTGGTTCTTTTTATTTTATTTTATATTTTGTGGTTACAGTGTTTAGTTAGGTTTTGGTTCAGTTTGAGATTTATGAACCGATTAGTTTCTTTTTTTTTTTTTTTTGGCATGATTATGGTTTGGATCCGATTGACTCAGTTCCAAGTGTCTAGTACGTAGTCTAGCTACTTTTACATCCTCAAGGTTAAATTAGATATTGTGAAAAGCTTGATACATGTTTCCAAACCTTAGAACCCCTTAAAGGCTAGTCTAGAACAGACAAATTAAGAAAGCAAAATTATGGAACGGGTGTTAGTTGTATATAATTGGTGGAACGAAAAGAATATTCATTTATACGTGTTAGAAGACAAAAAGAGAGAAAGTGAATAGTGAAATAACCTATGATTATCGTACAGATGGGGAAGAATCATGTTGTTGTGGGAGCAGAAACAGAGATGATGGAGATGTCACCTGCTGGACAAATCTCCGACAATCTTCCGGTGACTCTCCCGCTGCTTAATTAGCCACCTTTAATCATCTCGGCGGTTTGAAACCAGAAATCCAAAACCATGTATAATTAAGGAAGGAAGGAAAAAAAAAAATAAGTTATGTAATTATTCCGCTGATAAGGGCGCGCTTATGTATGTAATATCTCCTTAATACTCTCTCTCTCTATCTCTCTCTCTATGGCCAAGAGACTTTGTGTGTAATACTTTGAAAAGTAGATTCAAGTCAATATTATCTGCTTAAGACAAAACTAAACTACTGTACGATGAAACGTATTGTACCTTATCCGAGGGAGAGTTTTTGCATCGACATGTTGTGTGTGTTCTTCTTCTCTTCTTTGTGTTTCCTTCACAGTGAAGAAGCCTTTCTGCTTATTTTGCAATGGAGGCGTGGCACAATTCTGCTATTTATGTCTTCGTGAGTTAGTTTGTTTTTATCTTAAAACGCGTTGTGGTCGTCATGGGTTTCTCTTGGGCCCATGTCGGTCATTTTTTTGGCCCAATAAGCTTAGTTCTGTAATATTCATTCGCTGTTAACGTGACCGACCATCTAAACCGGCTTTACTAGCCGGATCAATCCGATTTTGATTTTTATTTATTTATTCATCCGATTCGAACGAAACAGCGGTTTTCAGGTGACTTCGAACCAATACACACCTATTTGTTATCAACAGTCACTTTCAAATTCTGATCCTGTAATTATATGAGCCTTGCATAAAAGTCACAACTATATTTAATTTAGTATCACAAGCCACTGTGAACAATTAACTAATAAATCTATACAAAATACAACCAGCCTACTAGTATAAGGAATCGTTAATAGCTAAAATGCATTTTTACGTAAAGAGGAAACATATGCACGTTCTGGTTGGATCAGAAGCTAACCAGCAATTTCATCACTATATTCACAAAATTCCTAGCTACGGTATGTCGATATTATACAAAATTGTTATCATCAGACAGAAATCACAATCTATAAAACTTTGTTCGAATTTATATATATATAATTGTATAATTGTATATATAAAGTCAAATGCCATGCCGAATGAGATAGTGGAAATAAAAATGTGAAGTCCGATAGAGAGACAGACTAAAATAACAAAATACTACTATACTAGTTGACTTGTGGAGAAGGCAACACAAACTTTCTCGCCGAGTACGGCGGAGGAGCAGCCGCAAGTGGATCCAGCCGACACTCGGGAAGCTTTTAATTTGCACAAGATGCGATACGCTTACACCTTATTTACTACATGTGCTCTCTTATATATATATATTACATACTCTGCACATAGTACACAAAAACCATTCACTAATAACAATCTCCAAATTCTTTCTTTTATGGAGATGGCTAGATCATTTGTACCCCTGATCACTGTGCTATGCGTCACGCTACTGCCACTTGCGGCCATGGCGGTTGGAACGCCATTCCATATTGAAGGATGTGTTTACTGCGATACTTGCCGCTTTGGATTCGAGACAATCGCCACCAAATATATCTCAGGTTCGTACTTATTATCCTCGACAATCACATCTTACATTTGTAACTCGTTGGTTTTGATTGGTTACACTTACATGCATGTTGAATATTCAGATTTTGCAAGATTTTTACCTATCCTGTAATATTACTTACGCAAATTTAATCACCAAAAGTATATAAAAATCCTAACATATACAGATATACTCATTAAAAAACTCCTAATTCGTAATTTGGTTCTATACTTATATACACACAGATTTAAAATATTGAAATACCTTGGGTTTAAAAAAAAAAACAGGGGCAAGAGTGAAAATAGTATGCAAAGACAGAGTGACACTGAAGTCGGAGGTGGTCGGGAAGGCCGTGACGGGACCCGATGGGAGATACAAAGTCGCCATCAAAGGAGACAGACAGGACCAGCAATGTCTGGCGGAGCTTGTCCACAGTCCTATGTCCCGCTGCCACGAGGCTGATCCTGGCAGAAGCACCGCCACAGTGATCCTCACGCGATCCAACGGCGCCGCCTCTACTCGCCACTACGCCAACGCCATGGGTTTCTTCAGAGACCAACCGCTCCGTGGCTGCGCCTCTCTCCGCAAACTCTACCTAGCCGACGGTGATGAACGGGCTATTTGAGTCATTTATCTCATATTAGGCTCTTCTTGATCAAACAAAGACAAAATGTTGATTTAGAGTTTTTATTTATTTTTATTTCGTTTTCTTGTTGAGTCTCTAAAGATGATGAGACTAGTTAGACATATCTATATAAAATAAAGTATTTGCAACCTTTTATAAAAAAAAAAACGAATTTGGGATCATAATTTGATTCAGTGTAGAATTAAGACAATTTCTTCAATATTTTATACTTTAGTTATTCTATGAATACGAGATCTAGAAATTATTATATTGTATTGTAAGGTAGATAGATGAAACTAGAGAATACAAGTACATGCAGAAATGTTCTGACTTAAGGTACATGTAAAGTAACAAGCTTAACTAATAATCGGACATATATATGTTTTTGTCTTTCAAACCATGTCCCAAACTGAAAATGTACTCTGGTTCACGTTGTCCGATTGATCAGATTCTGAAAATTGGTTCAAATCCGTTCCAGTTCCATCATTATCATCATCTTCAATACTCCTAGAGCAATGTAATTCGTTCTGCATCTTCTCTAACCAAAAATAATCCATCCAATTCCCATTAATGATATGATGATCATCATCTCGCTTGTCCATTGCAGTCGAGCTCACACTGTGGTAATCATCTTCACTAGTCGAATTAGTAACAATACTTGGAGTCGTTTCAAGCATGGACGTTATATCTCCCATGCTCTGGCTCAGCTCTTGGGTCGACCCGTATAGACATTGTATCTGGTGACCCGTTCTCGAGTTCTTGTCTCCGAAACCAAAACTCACATCACTTTTAGGACAACTCGAGTTTTGGCAAGTGTAAACACTCTTAGACGGTTCCATCAACTCACCTTTTCTCTTAGACCCCGACGCTTCTTGATCTCTATCTTCGGAGATCTTGAGGTCTTGAATATTGAGAAGAGCCTCTTCTTGGTTTAAGACACGAGACCAAGTATCGGTCTCTTTAGCCATCATTTTATCTTGCAAACTTTTAGATTGCCTCGCGAGACGTCGCACTCTTCCCAAATTCGGCGACATGTGTTTGATTACAGCCGCGAGAACACTAACTTTCCAAGATTTCCTCAAATCATGGGGCTTTCGATATGGCGGCGCACCATGCTCATGTGCCGCTCCTTGCTCTCCCCACCAAAGCTCTGACCCCGTCGGCCACCACGGCGGCGCAATTCCTTTCTCTAAGGGAAACCGCCGCTGTGGGGGCATGCAGTGTTGCATTAACGCAGACAGTAACGACCCAAGAGTCGTGTCTTGTAGATCTTGTAACATGTGTAAGAAGCTCGATGATGATGACTTATCAATAAGCTCTGCCGCAGCAAGTGTTAAGTATTCTGTGATAGCGTCTGGAGCGTTTTGTTCGAACTGAACGTTTTCTTTCCACCAACGTCTCAGACTATCGGACGAACCGGTTATTGGTTTACCCTTTTCCGGTACGATTCCGTAGACAAACCCTTTCGCCTTACACACCTCCATGATCTTCATCATGTACTTCAACACCGAGTCCTGCGAACGAGCCATCTTCTTGCGCCGTGAAGCTTCCGCTCGGTGCGTTGACAATGAAACGACGTCGTTGTAGTGTCCTTTCTGTTGCTTCAACTTTTCCATGAGGTTTCGGTCTTTCCACATGCGTCTTTTGAGGTCATCATAGCTTATTTCTTCTTCTTCCTCGTCCTCGGTTGGACTAAGTGTTTCCAATTCTTCGACTTCCACCATGTTTTTCTTTTAGTCTATTAGATCTCGAGTTATGGACACTTGATGATATATCTAAATATATATACGTGATTGAGGTTATTGTACGTACGCAGAAGGATCAAGGATATACTGATGTAACACGGCCAAGTTATGTTAAATTGAGTGTCGTCTATTCATATACAGATCAGATATATATATAAGTAAATCAATTGAAAATGGTTGTTTTCTTAGGAGGAGGGTGGTGTGCATGTGCGACGAGGGACGTGTCAAGATGTCCTCGTTTAGTCTGAGCTAAACATAAGTTGTAAAGAGAATTTGGAATTTTGTGGCGGAGATATTTATGTTTTTTAGGTGGACAAGAGTTATCTCCGGGCATCAAGACGCCGGAGATTAGTAGAAGTTTCTTCGGTTGCATCAAAGTCGATGGATAACGAGACCTGATTGCACCGACTTAATTGATAATATAATAAACAAAAACAAAATTTGATAGGACTGTTTATAATCAAATTGTTAATTCTTTTTTTTTACATACCAGTATACAAGTATTTGATGATATTATTGATGATTAAAAATTTGATTTCCTTCCTTCAATAAATCTCAATGCTTTTTTTTTTTTTTTGTCTCAGTGTGTGTGGCTGAGGCAATTATGAAAAGCAATGGATAAGGTGGTAAGCGAGTGATTTTGGGGGATTTAGTGATATCAGGATATCGGCAATACTATTATTCCGACGCTTTCGTATGAGCTTACCTAAGCAGACTCTTTACCTTTTTCCTCCTACCAGCAGGGGCGGACCCACGTTGGTGATAGTGGTGGCACATGCCCCAGTAATATATAAAAACAAAAAAAATAGTAATAATCAATGTTGTTTAAGTGGTTGAGTGGTTTCGTATCAAATCAATTAAATCTTGAGGTTGCGTGTTCGATTCTCTCTTGCCACATTTTGCCCCCATTAAAGTATTTAGCTAGATCCGCCCCTGCCTACCAGTTTTAATGTCTTATGGGAAAAACTATAAAAATTTGGTTGGAAAACCAATTATAATTTTGGGAATTGTCGGTTGCTTGGAACTGAAAAGTAATCTTAATGATGTCATATGCACTAAATATTTTGTAGATTCTTTTTTTCTTTTCTTTCGAAATCAATATCGCTGTTAAACCATTTACTGTATTTTGTTGCTTAAATCAGTTGAGTAAAAAATATAATGAAAACTGTTTTAAAGAAATACATATATATAGATGAAATATATGATGTGATTGGTCAAAAAAAGAAATATTTGATGTGAAAAAATATTTTCATAAAATAAAACATCAAACGACAACTTTTACTTCGTATAAGAAAGAATTTCTGAACGGACGTAAAAAAAAAAGAAAGAATTCTGAACTTTATTTCTTGAAATTCTTCAAATGAAATATTTAATTTAGATCCACTAAACGTATTGTCACCCAAATAAGTAGAATATATCCTAATGGGCTTGGTATGTTTTGTATTAGACCCAATAGAATCATACAATGATCCGTACCGTTCTCTCATGCGTTTGTAAAAGACCCAATAGATTATAATGGGCTTATTAGAAACTGGGCTTTTACTCATGATTCCAGCTCAGTAAACTAGTAGGACCCACGAGATTCTCTTCCTGTCTCAACTACTTTAATGCTTTTGTTTTTAATTTAATAATTATGATTTTTCGAAAAACACAACTCCAAAAAATAAAAAATCGAGATCGGAAACTCCGCACGGTTCCCGCCTCAACGAAATCAAAAACCCTAATTGTTTTTCCCACCCAATCAGATCCTCCACCACAACATTCCCCACCGACGACGGATCCTCTCAATCTCTCTCTTTAAGGTCAGTCTCCCCCCAGTTTTTTGGGTTTCTCATCGTTCTCCTCCTCGTTTATCGCGTAATTGTGGTTTCGATTTAAGGGTTTTTTTTTTTTGTTGAATTCCTCATCTGGGATTATTAAAGTTTTCATCTTTCATTGAGTTCTTAGTCTTACCAGTCGTAATATTTATTTGAGAATTGAAATTGTTGATCTTTCTTTGTTGGGTTGTGATTTTGAAGATGACTGAAGAAGATAGTGGCAAATTAGTGTCCTCGGAACAACAAACCCGACCCGCTTTGTGTGATTTGACGAATCTCCCAGCTAAAAGGGGGATTTCTTCGATTCTGGGTGATTTGATTAATGAATCTGGTAAGTCCATTGTTGCTCACGAAGGTTCGAGAGAGAAGTTTTCAAAGAGGTTGTGTTTAGTTGTGGATGATTTGGTTAAGGAGAATGCTAGTCCTGTTGGTACAACTAATGAAGGGTCTTCTTCCAATTATAAGAAGAATAGTTGTGGTGGCTCTGATGATGACAAAGGAGAATCTGAGGAGTATCATGATGCTGTTATGGAATTCTCCGGTGGAGATGGCAATGCATCCAAGGAAAGCAGGTCTTTACAGATCTATTTTGAGCCTGGCGATAGGGACGGTGCACGGGAGTTAAACGAGTCTGCTGATGCGTGTCAAACGGATGTTACTGGTGAAGGGTTGGCTTTATCTGTGTTTACTGGCAACGCCGAGAGACAGAATCCAGGGGAAGACTTGCCTAATTGTCGGAATTTGAGATCATTTGAAATGAGTAGGTGCTCAAATGTTAAGAGGAAGGAGCATGTGGATCAGAATATGGGAGATGACTTGCTTAAATCATGCTCCTGTTCTTTTTGCCTTAAAGGTATCTCATTCTTCACTTCCTATGTTGTTTCTTACATATCATTTCTCGTGATTTCTTATAAAATGATCTGACCTGGATATTGCTATGAATGAATTGCTTCAGCTGCGTATATCTGGTCAGATCTTCATTACCAGGATACCAAAGGTCGATTATCCGGTAAGTCCCGGTAATCATCATACTACTAAGTACAAACTATGTATTCGCCACAAGCTCTTGAATATTTTCTTGTGAATATTGTTTTATGATGTGTTTTTTTTCCTTTTCTTTTCTCTGAGCCAGCCTTGAAGAAGAGTCAGAAAAAAGCTAGCAACTTGATTCAAAGAAACGGCAAAGAATGGCCTACAGATTTTCATGCAGCGGTGAACTCTTCTAGTTCTGGGAAACAAGAGTCTAAACTCATGGGGCAATGGAGGTCGCTCTTTCTTAGCATGGGTGAAATCCTAGGTCATGAAAGTAACCACCTTGTAAGTGATTTTAGAAGCTTCTCATCTGTTCTTAAAGCTTAATGCAAAAATGTTTTTATAAGGCCACTTTGCTTTCTTGTACACATGAACCTGAGTTTTCAATTTTGCAGCAAAAGAGCTTTGAGACAATGAGTAAATATCGAGAAGACTGCAAGATGGATTTGGAGAGAGCGATGAAAACACCTCACACAACACCTAGTAAGTAAGTACTCTTTTCGAGTCTCAACTTGATCAAACACTGTAATGAATCGAACTTCTTTCCTTTCTGAAAATTATAATATCTGGACGCAATGTATAGATGTTTGAATTCGTAAATGATTATGTATTTGTGAGATTACAGTTGGTGTTAGTTCTTCTCTCAAACTCTTTGTGTTCTTCTCTCAAAAGTGTTGCTTACACACAGGCCTATATGTATTGCTTTGGAATCAGTAGACCATTCTATTTTACTCTTTGTTATGCCTTAACTTTAGTGAGCTACGTAACGTAATCATGGTTGTTAAACTTATTAGACTGAAAAAAATTACGATTAGAATTTGAGAGAAGAACACAACACAAAGTAAGCTGTAGTGTGAAACTGGGTTTTTTTTTTCTTTGTACCGATTTATGGATAAATTGATTTCAAGTAAGTTTCGAATTATTTTTGGGTTATTTTTTTGGTATCCTTTGTGTGTAAACAAAAATAGAAACTGGGGGAAATTATGAAATGAAAGAGAGACAGTAGACATTGGAAAGAGGAAAGAACTAAAGAAGCTGCGACACGTACGTTGCAAGTTATGTCAACGTCAGATAAGACTAACTTCAACCTTGAACCTTGTTTAATGTAGTTAATGGGCTCTTTGGGATTTTGTTAACTTGTGGGCTTTCTTAGTAAAAATAACTTGAAAGTCCAAATATTTCCCGCCATCCCAAAATAACAGAGAGACGTAGAAAACAAAAGCAATAAAATAGAATTGGAAGAATTAAATTAATAGCAGTTCCACCGATCTTCTAGAGTATCAAAACAACAATTTCGAATATATTCCGCTGACCATTGCGATTAACACAGTGCATATTAAGCTTTAGAAAACTTTAAGATGTAGTGGATATGATATGAAGTTCTTAATTACTATATTCTTGGTTCTAACTTCTAACACATAACAACACACATATATATATACAAAACATTATATTAATTTAATATATATATGTTCGAACATACACAGTTAACGTTCAGATACGTTGGACAGACACGTAAATAGTAACTTGGCTCCCTATTGTTATGGCATTCTCCTTTGCAGTTTGCAGGAGTAGATAGTTCCCCATGTGACACATATGTATAGTCATTGGTACACGAGTTTGGCAGATCCCATCACATTTTAAAGCATGCTTGAACAATTTAGTCATAATATATTCCTACCCAATATTAGACGATGCACATATATCTAGACTAATATGTAATGTATTTATTAAATTAACTACAAATTATGATGGATTTATATAACAGGAAAATTAGTTCATCATAAAGGCTCACGGTCTCTGTATAATTCACATACGCATACAGATATGTACGTGAAAGGATACATAAAAAAAGAGAGATGATAGAAGACAGACTCTTGTGGAAAGCTCGACCCTCAAAGCGGGGACCGGTCCCCAATGCGTACACGTGTGACCAAACTACGGGAGCCCAGAAAATTAGACCATCCCTTCTCCTTCACCCTCAATACTCTGACACCATCCAAAATAATATTTTATTTTTCAAGTATAATGGAAAAGAACAAAAAAAGAAAAAGAAGAAAACTTCCTCTTTCTTTTTGATTATGGACAGCAAAAGCAATAAATAATAAAACGGGATTAGCGAATAGTTTATATAACAACTTCTAGAGTCTACTACATAAACCTTGATAAATAAACTCGACGTGAAATATTAACTCTAGCTCCCACGTGATTCATTCGCTACCATAGCTCCAAGATCCACATATTTTGATACTATTATACATATACAATTATAATATTTTTTAGCCGAATCAATCTATGATGCTCTTGCCATTGTTTAAGCATATGCATATACATTTCAACATTTGGCTAGGGATTATATTCCCTTTTAACTAATCCATTTGCATATATATATATATCCATTATTCTAGAAGACGTATCCCATTTAACGTGGTTAATAATCTATATATATAAAGTTAGTTTTTTCTCTCTTCTCATTGTGCCACCTAAGCCACAATTTTTTTTACATTCAAATAAATTTAAAACATTCATTTAGTGCATATTTATGCTACTTATTTAATTAATAGAAAATTTAAATAAATAAAAATAAATTATGTAAATAAATGAAATGTTAAATAAGAAATACTTCATCTTTTATTAGTTAGTGGTAATAATATAATTCAACTTTCATTTTAAATTGATCATAGTTTAAAATTTTAAATGTGTTACTGAGTTTAAGAATGTAAGTAAATTTAAATTTATGGTACAATAAAAAAAATTATGTAATTGTATATATAAAAATTTAAAGGGGAAAAATAAAATTAAAAGTGAAATATTAGTTTATAACATGATCAAAAAGAAAATGATTTTAATCCAAATTTAAATATTGAAAGATAATAATTCAAGAGAAAATAACTATAATATGTTTTGAAAATCAATTAAAAATAAATAAAATATCACAATATAAAAAAAAAATTAACAAAAAAAATTATAAACTTCCCGCGCGCAGCGCGGGTCAACTGCTAGTATATTATACTTTTAAAGTCTGAGAGTTGTGGTGTGAAGAGACTCCTTGATCACCAATAATTGAGATTTGAAGGTATAATATAGTCTAACAAATTAATTAATCAGTGTTAATTAAATTAGCCTAGAGAAGCTAAGAATAATTAAGCCAGTGAAAGGGATTGAAGGGAAAACCAAAGAGTGGAATCCATCTTTCCACGTTCAGATAAAGTGAGGAAGTGAGTTTAGTTTGACAACTCTTTGTAAACTCTTTGGAACTGTCTTATTGTCTCTGCTTCCTGCCTTCACCCATGTGTTCAGTTTTCCTTCTTTTTTAGTTTTTTTTTTGTCTGTATTTTCATTTTTAATAATAAAACACATCAATACGATCATATAAGTGGAATCCAACATGGCCAATCTCAACCCTTCCCTATGCCACGTTAGAATTGTAACTTTACTACATTTGCTAATTTTTAGAAGTTTCCGCAGCATTTCTTCGTATGCTTGTCATTTCTCAACACTAATGTGTGATCTCTATGTAAAAGATATTGAAATTTGTGGGATATCAAATCCTTATATTTGGTCAAAAATAAAGAGACTGGTCCTCAAATCAGTGTCTATATATACATTTCAATAGATGAAATGTAATCGAAATTCGAAATCCTATAAGTTCGATTTCAATACGGAAACTTAACGGGGTACTTCTAGCTAGTGTATGTTACTATTTTATCTAGGTCATGGACAATGAGAATACAGATTTATAAAAGTAATATTGAGTAGTATTGGTGACATGTCTACATCGGAAGGGACTGAAAACACATGCAGCCTTATTGTGATAGTTAGTCGCATTATACACCCAAAAGCTATGGACAAAAAGCTTTGGCCATATGGCCATCCACTATTATTGATTTGCTATGACAATATACGTATAGTCATGACTTTTCTCTTTACACATATTTCAGCTTTCACAGAGACTACGTGCATGCATCTGACGATGTTATAGCCACTCCCACTCATATATATATATATATCTGTCCATCTATGTGAAACATAATATGTAGCACTGGGCAAAATATTTGTTAAATTCGCTTCGTTTCGATATTCGTTTCGATTCGATTCGTAAAATTCAAATATCTATAAGATATTGAACCGAAGCAAATATGAAAATCTAGTATTCGTAAAAACCGAAGCAAATAACAAATATTGATTTTTTTAGTACCGAATATCCGCTTCGCTTCGTATATTTATATATATGTATAAATATAAGTTATTGTATAATTCATATAATATATATAATATGTGTATTTATAGATTTGGGTATATATCTGATAAGCTTATTATTCAAATTATTATATTTTGGCTCGTTGGGTTTTTTTTTTTGCTAAATGGTGTTTTTAAGCAAATAAAACTTTACTAGAAAAATCATTATTAAAAATAAAATGTGAAAATTCTATGGACGGTGGTTATATTTCCTTCTTATTTTGAAAATATGTCAAATAAAAACCTCTAATATTTCATATTTTGCACTTTATATTTATGTACTATATGTTTTTTGTTTCAAAAAAAATTAGATGGGTCGAAGCGAAGCGAAGTAAGTAATTCGCAAATATTACGAAAAATATTCGAATATTCGAAGTTCCGAATACTCGTAAATTTACGAATCGAAGCAAATACCAAAATCAACTATTCGGTCGAGGCGAAGCAAATAACAAATATCACAAATTTTCTGAATATTCGCTTCGTGCCCCGGGGTATATGTATTCTTTTATGTTTCTATATATACCATTTCCACTGTCAGATTCCAAAAGACGTAAAACACCAATTCAAGTAAGAATACAAAACAATAACTTAGGAAAGTCATAGATTGGGCTTGACATGTACAATTCATGATGTATTTGTGGTTTAACTTGTCTAAGTCAATTATGATTTTATGATTACTAGATAGCATATGTACATACTCCAAATAGATCACACATTAGTAAATAACAATCTCATGACTGTTTTCTTATGATTAATTGAGATTTTCTGAACTGAAACTTTTAGGTCTTTCCATCGGAGTCGAAAAGAGTCGAACCAAGAGAGCAGGATTTCTTACTCATTTGGAGAGACCATACAGATCAAATATATCTTAAATTCTTGTTACACAACTAGCATGTATCGAAAAAAATATGAGAGGTTCAGTTTCACATATTCTTATATTCAATCGTTCGTTACTCTACCGTCACACACGTACGGATCATCATTAGTAATTGAAACAGGTTTATTTGAGCCGATATTCATAGTGTAATCAGTTGAATGTAACTATTAGTATTGCAAAATTTTTGATTCATAATACCATTTTTTTTTTTGTAGAGATTTATGTAACTTAAGAAATTTCTAACACTTGATAGTTATAAATGTTTGAAGAGGCAATTTTGGTTAGTTCAACCGGATGGAACACAGGAATAACTAAATAATGACAGAACAGAGTTCAAGTCGACAAAGTGTTCATGGAGGTGACTAGTTTAAAAATGTCACTCGACTGTGACCTAAAAGATATACAGTCCAAATGGACAAATGGATATACTAGTTACGTTTGTAGGGTAAATATCATCCATTAGAATTTCACACGATTAAAAAGAAAAAGAAAAAAGAAGCATTATCGTAATAAATAATCTTGGATATGAAACAACTACAAAATCTGCTACAATAC